ACGCTCCGGAGTGCAAAGAGATTTGCCGTGGTTTGGCAAGCGCGCGAGGGGAAGGGATCAGGCAGCCCATCAACGTCGCAGGCCCTCTGCGAGAAGCCGCGGAGATGATCTCATGCATCGCGCCGCGTGGCCGATGCGCCGGCACGTAATCCAAGGCCAATCCACGCTCCAGGTGATAAGCCGCGCTGGAAAAGGACCAAGTCCCTGCCTGCCTGCAGCGTTCAAGTAATTACTTGTGGGATATGGCAGCAAAACACCTTAGCTGGTGAAGAAGAAGCCCTGAGTAATTTGTAAGATGCTGACTGCGTTCGACTCGGCTACGCTGAGTGGCAGCCCTGGAAATCCAAAGCAATCGTCCTGCGTTTCGGCAGCAGTTTAAACAGCTCTATGCGTGAGCGTCGGTCCTTTTTTTCATGCCTGTGTCGAGGAGAAGAACTCTAGCTCCTTTATTTTGGGGGTTGCAAAGCCACCTGAGAGCGGAGCTGCAGCCTTCCCATGGAGCAGCGCAGGGCATTGGGGCGTCTTGCTGCAACGGCCGCGTGTCCATCCATCGCCTTGCCGACATCGTGTGCATGGCCTGCGCCCGCTGCTCAGGGAGACGGGGGCCGGTCGGGGAATGCATGCTGAAAAAGAAAGAAATTGGAAAATGAGAGTCTTCCAGCTCTGGAAAAGATTATACAGCCACTCCTGGTCTGGCTAAGTTATAGTTTCTGTAATAACCTGCATGCTGGTAGGCTTCAAAATATGCTCTCTAAGGCTCCGACATCAGCATCTGTGTGTCTAAAGCCCCTTTTCTGAGAGAGAAAGAGAGAGCGCTCGCGTCCTGCGCATGTTGCTAAAAGGGACGCGGCCGGGATTACATCCAGCCAGGGTCACAATGCATTGAAAAGCCCCTGCTCTGTCACCACCGCCGGATTGCCACGGGTTCCCCGGTGGTTTTTCTCTCCTGTCACCTGCTGACAGAGCTATTGCAGCAGCCCGGGAGACAGAGCCCCTACATGGGAACCGGCAGACCGGCTTTTTTTCCTCTTCCTGGAACGACTCAGTTGCTTTTCACTCCCCTTGACTTGCAGGGATCGTGAGGCTTGATTTTACCGGGGTCAGGAAATCATTGCAAGCTGGCAGTCATGTGAGAAATATATTGCACTTAAGCACTTAGCAATAGCCCGGTCTCAGCATCTAGCTTACGTGGTCCCTGCTGCGACAAAGGGCAGGAATAGCATCTGAGCAAAGCGAAGCGCCGCCTGCACCTGATGCCACGTAGAGGGAGAAGGAAAACCCCGCCACCCTGGCTGCATGAGAGATGCTCGCCCGAGCTGGGCGCGGAGCTGAAAGTTTATTCCCCGCTCTTCAAGTTTTGCACTTAGCACCAGGTGCCCGGGCGCTGCTTTTAGGCAGTCTTTTCCCTGGAAACAGGATGGGTTTTTGAATGCCTTTGCAAATTCAAAATAACCCCCTCCTCTCCTGCCTCCCCAGGATCTGAAGAAGTACGGGGCCACCACGGTCGTGCGGGTGTGCGAGGTGACCTACGACAAGACGCCCCTGGAGAAGGACGGCATCACCGTCATGGTAGGTGGGCGGCGGGGCGGGTGCCCCAGGGGTGCTGTCGGGAGGAGGAGAGCGGGAGGCTGAGACCTGCTCAGGGCTCAACTCTCTGCATGTCAGCCGACCCAGCTGGCACAACGGCACCGATGGCAGCACGTCCATGCAGAGTTCGGTTGGGGTGCAAACTCTCTCGGCTTTTTCTGTGTCCTGGGGCAAACGATTTGGCGTCAGCAGGGTCATTCTCCCCCCGGATCGTGAAGCCAGGTGCCTTGCCATTCACGAGGGAGGTTTTGGCAGCAGTAATTTGCCCTCTGAGATGCATTTGAAGTTGAAAAGCGCTCTCCTCGCTGGTAGTTAGGCCAGGCGCCAGTCAAGCGTTGCCCACTCCACGCTCGGGGCTCATCTCAACGCCGCAGAGGGCAGCACGTGAAAAGCACGCTGCATAAACAGAGGCTTTTGGCTTCCGGTGAGCATCCTCTGTACCCCAAAACTGGGCTTTTTCCGGCCAAATAGGCTCAGAGAAGCGCAGGAAGGAAGGTATCCAGGCTGGCAGGTCGGAGTCGCATGGAGAGTGTCAAATATATGGAAAAATAGCTAGCAAGGAACCCTGCCCTTTGATAACTTTATGCTTTCTGCTGTTGAGGTCGGCAGCCTGTCCTCCTCTAGCCGCGGAAGGAGCTCTTTCAAGAGCAGTTGCTTTGATTACAGCTCTAGGGCCTGAAATCCAAGATCAGCACAGTAAGATTTTGGTCCGCTGCTACTAGACAGAGAACAAGTTATGTCCGGGAGCTCTGCGCACACATGAGATTGCTTTTGTCCCTTCTGCCTGGACGTTGCTTGGAAATCAGTGCTCAAAGGGAAAGATTCGCTTGCCGTCTGCCTTGAAATGGGCAGGAAGGGAAGCTGATGGGGACACTTGGCGCGTTTTTGGTGTATTTTAAGGCTCGGCGAGGAATGGCGCAGGGAGGTGCTACGGGTACAGGTTGGAGTGACTCGGCCTCGACACATCTCAATGCGAGCAGCTCGGCATCTGTGCTTAATATCTGCTCAATATCCAAACGCTGGTGTATTTTGGTGAGGGGGGGCTGGAAGATGAGCAGGCTACCGTTGGAAAAGTTTGGAAACACCTGGACTTTGTCCGGGAAGGAGAAGGGGATGGCAGAGGGGATATAGATGTTTTGGGAGAAATTACTGGCTTTCTAAGGTACTGTGGAAACCTTTTGGAGGCTTTTGTGTTACGTTAGCTGCCTGTTGTGCAGCCGAGTCTTCCCACTGCAGCATTGCTGCTCTGATGGGATTTCTGCAACAAACCTTCCCAAGCAGCAGGGGAAAGGAAGTATTCTAACAAGTGGGAAATTCTTAAAGAAAAATTAAAAAAATCAAGGTCTCCCTTTGGTAGACAAAGGTTGAAAGCTATGAACAGAAAGGGAAATTAAACCTCATTCAAACTCGGGGTCACAGACGGAGGCAAGGCTTTGGGGTTTTTCTCAAGGGAAGGGTTTAAAGGCTGAAGCGACGTTACGTTTGGGTTTTCCCTCTAACGACGGAGATGGGAGTTTGAGGTCATCCTCCGCATCTCCAGTGCGTTCGCCAGCATGCAGACCACGGCTTCCGGGCAAGGTCCGGCTCCGCTGGCCGCGTAGCGGCTAGCACAGACGCAGTTACGCCGCGCACCCCGGCTCTGCTTCCATCACGCTCCGGAGTTCTCGGCTGGCAGGATTTTCAGCCCACCGGCTAAAAACACTCCCCCGAGGCCGGTCCTGCCCAGGAGCGCTTGGCGAGAGGTGGGTCGCTCCCCACTGCTAATTCCCAGTGTCGGGCTGCAATTCAGCTGGGACTTCTTTAAAAAAGAAGGATCTGCCCACGCACTCGAAACTGTGACTCATGCAGCCAAATTGGCAGGTGCTGCCAGCTCTGACTATCACTCCGGCTGTAAAGCATCCAGGGTATTAGTGCCTGATCCCACGTGGAAGATGCGAGTCATTCCTGTTACCCTCAGCATTATCTTATCCAGGGGGTATAAAAACTCTGGGTTTTTTTTTTGGTTTTTTTTTGCTCTTTCAGCAGTTGGCAGCTTGCAGCTTTGGGAAATGAAAGGGAGAGAGGAGCAAGCCAAAAAAAAAGAAAAAGAAAAAGAAAAGGACGCTTTTAAATGCCTGGGCTGTGTCTTTAATGATAAGTAATGGGAGATGATGTCAGGCGCGATTGCCACGCTCGGGAATCTGCTCAGCCCTCGTGCAGGCTGTGCCAGGTGAGCTGGGGCCCACTCCCCAGCCCCGTGTGGGAGACGATGAGTAATCGGATAAAATCGGGAAGCTTTCGTCAGGTTATGTCTGCCTGGAAGAGCAGAGAGAGTCCCGGAGCCTGAGCGCTGCAGATATGTGGGCCCTGGCGTCCTTTACTGAACTGAGATGTTTCTTCTGGTGGGCTCAGAGCTCGCTGTGCCTCTCCCCTGCTGAAAAGTGAGCTTCACCTCTTATTTAGGAGGTCTTTTGAGATCCAGGAGGTCTTCTGAGATCCTGGCGATGCAGAGATCTCTCAGGGAACTTACTGGTTTGGGGAAGCTGAAGCCGTAAAGCTTGTTCTGGTCGAACTGCATTTTCCAGCCAGCCCAGACGATCCTGCGCAATGATCTTCAAGCAGCACTGGAAATGGTTTTTCAGTGGGGAGAAGTCACAGCTCGCAGAGCCCTAAAGGCAGCCGGTGAAAATGCCCCATGTTTCCCAGAGCGAGGACACGGGATTGCCTGCGGGAACAGCCGAGTGGACGCAGCCAGGGCACCGGCGCTGCAGCTGGTGGGACGTTCGCGCCTGGCTCCCTTCGAGCAGCTCGCAGGCTGGTCTCGGCGCTGGCACCCACCGGTGCTAACAGCGTGGGGAGGTCCAGCCGGTGGAAGGTGTTGCAAAAATAAAGGCTCCTGAGCTGGTTTCCCCCATATCTGCATTTCTCCTCCTCCCTCCGCATCCCTTGGGCGATGAACCTGGACGCAGTGTTGGTACCTGGGCCACCGCACACGCGGCACATGTTTTGTGGCAGCGTCATTAACCCGCCGGTCAAACAGGGTGAGGGCTGCGAAGGCAGCGGATGGCAGCAGCCAGGAGCAGCGCAGTGGTGCTGCTGGAGAGGCCGCTTCCCCGCTTGACCGTAGCAATGACCCCAGAAAGGGCAGGGGACGTACAAGGAGGACGTGCTCAGGAAGCCCTCCTGGATTCGGGCCTCGGTGGCTTCTGGATGCCTCTCTTGGGCTGCTCCCAGACAGCTCAGGGCATCGTCTCTGCCTCCCGTGCTTGGCCAAGTGCCTGGTTCCCCTTCTTTTCTTTGTCCCAGCCTACAAATCCCCTTGAAGCACTTGGGAAGAGCACGGCCGTCACCCTCCTAAGCTTCCCTGGAGGCTCAGGACCCATTTTCCCGAAGGGTGAATAGCTTTCCCAGCAGTTACCCCACACCTCTGCTCAGATAGAGGTGAACCAGACGCACAGTACAGTCCCCTTGGTGTGCCGTGACACGCAGGCGTACATCTAGATACGGGTGTCTATGTGGATTTATGTCTAGATGCATTCGCAGCCCTTGCTTTCCAAGTAGACACGTGCTAGCTCGGTGTGCTCAGACTGCCGTATCCGTGGGGACTCTTCCGTTCATCGCTTCCGCCAGGAACAGGGTGAAGGGCAGAGTTTGGTCTCTAAAAGGACAGAGACTATGATGTCCTACATAAAGGATCTATATATAGGATATATATATATCTATATGATATGTGCTACATAGATCTAGCCTAAACAGAGATATCTATATCTGTGTCTCTGTAGATAGCTGTATCTATATAGACGCAGTTGTATCTCTCTATAAATCTGTATGGCTACATATGGGTGTACACAATATATCTATATATAGGCTATATATGCTGGCCCTTTCTTTCGGGAATAGGCAGAAGTCACAGGCTGGTGAGCAATGGACCCACCGAGTCCTGGCTCTGGTCCTCCAGCCTCCTCCTGACGCTGCAACGGCTGCAGAGAGGCAGCGTGCAGACATCCACAGCCACGGTACCTAAATGTACTGCGATGCGGGCCTGGCACACTCCCTTGGCGTTTGGGATGTGTGGCGTTGGATGCGTCCTCTCCTTCTGGCACCTCCACGTGCCGTAGGAGTTTTGGAGCGATGCATCAAACTAACGCCGCTGGCTCAGGTGGGGATTGCATCGGCCAGGCAGAGAGCTGTAAGACTCCCCTTTCAGGTCTGCAAAGACCGAGCCTTGCGTGTGGCCTTTGCAGCCACCGATAATTGGCAAAGACAGTATAATTGCAGTAAATGCGAATGGGTGTGAGCTGTAAGTGCTTAATTGCAGCGTGCTTTGATGCCGGGTAGGATTGCAAGTAGTGATTAGTGAGTCTTGCCTGACGGAGGCATCCCGGCTGGGTCTAGTTCTGTGCCACACCGTGTGTATCTGCTCCTTGGTCTCTGCTCCTTTTTCCGGCCACATCTTCTCCTTCTGCAAAATATCTCTCTGAAGACGTCTCAGAGCTGCTCCTCTGCTTTGGAGGAGAGCGCTGGGAACCTCTCCAGAGCAAGCGAGGACGGCAACACCTTGCAGGGCTCTGCAGGGCAGCAGCTCCCTTGATGTTTGCGCAGGCACCTTCCCGTCACATTCCCACCGCTCCCGGGGTGAGCAGGGTGTGCTGCTTCAGCAGGTCTCCCATAACGTTGGGAGATCTGGACAGAAATCCTGCCTCAGAACTGACGCATTGCGGTTTTAGCTGGAGGAAGCTTTATGTTATGGGATGACTGTGTGTCATCCCCAGTGCAAGCTTGGTAAACTGGGTGCCTGGTGACCTGCGTCCTCAGTAGAACTTGTGCTTTCCCTGTGCAGGGGAAGGAGATGGTTTTGCAGTACAGGCACAGGCTACGTAGCGTGGGATGACTCAGGTATTAGCGTTCCCTAACGCTATTTTCCTATCAAAGCCCTAGGCAACTGAAATTGCCTTACCTGTTGAAAACCAGCAATAAAATAAAGCTTAGCGGCTTTCTGCAGAATCTTTTAGCAGTGATGACTTCGGCAGCACAGCTTAGTGACTCAGTCCTTAGGCACAAGGGTTATGGCCGTATGCTTTCCATGTGCTGCGCACCGCAGTGCTGGGTTTCGCCATGCTGCATCTCCATCAAGCGATGTCCCCCTGCCTGTCCAAACCGCTGGCCTCCATAAGCTACGTCCATTGGGAAGCTGGCCACCTGGAGACTAACTCTCCAGCTTGGGGCACAGTTGCAGCAGGCGACTGCAGTGCAAGGTGCTGCATAGCTGGTCATGCTCGGCGCAGCAGCCAAAGCCCCGACGTTTACTCCGCATAGCTCAAGGGCCCTTTTCTAATGGCCGAGGAGGTGGTATGGCAGAGAGGGAGAGCATAGTCCGCTGCTCATGCAGGCTTTGCAAGGAGGCGTCAGGGCAGCCCTGGCGAGGTCAACGCGGCGGCATGGGCTGAATCCCAGCTGAATCCCACTTTTCCTCCACGAGACCTTGCAGAGCACTTGTACCGAAGCTTGTTGTGGAGGAAAATCTGTTCTGAATTGTAAACTTTGTGGGCAAATCTTTCGTTGGATGCTTTGCCTGAGGGCTTAGCTGTCAGAGTGGTATAATTGCTGGAAAGCACACCATTTGGCTCGGCCCCCATCAAGCTCTTTGAAGATGGGATTTTTTATTTAAGGATGCATGTTTTTCTTTTAAAGCCAATCTGCTCCAAATCCCAGGCAAGCCACTTACTCAAATCTGGTGTATCTCCTTGAGAAAGGTCACCCCGTGTGCATCTAGTGGCCATGGCTTGATGACCCCGTGGATTTTCACTAAACCCGTTTGACTGGCTTGGGACTGTAATGCAGCCAGCCCTGCACTGAATTGGGCATTTTGCTGCTCGCTTGCCCACACAAGCGAGGAAGCTAAGCATGGTTAGGCTCATCTCAGCAGTGAAAGGGGTGTTCAGCAAGTGAGACTCTGCTGTGCGCAAAGCGCCTACCCACCAGGGTCTGACCGGCTGCGTGTTCCTCTCTCATTTCTCTCTCATCCGTAGGACTGGCCATTTGACGATGGAGCGCCTCCTCCGAGTAAGATCGTGGAGGACTGGCTCAACTTGCTGAAGACCAAGTTCTGTGAAGACCCTGGCTGCTGTGTGGCGGTTCACTGCGTGGCTGGCCTGGGCCGGTAAGTGAGAGCTGGGGCACCAAGAGCTGCAAGCCTGGGTGAACATGCTGCGAAGGGGCTGCATGCTGCTGGAGCCAGAGCCAGCTCCTCTCCATCCCCTCCTTTAGCAGAACTGTTGCATGCAACACAGCAGGAGGCAAAGACATGAGCGAGAAGAAGCCGTAAAAGCTATGGTGGTAGCCAGGTGACCCAGGAAGTGGGGCTGTGAGATGGACACTGGACAAGCCCTTTTGCCCAGAACATCATCCTCAGAGTTATTGGGGGAATTTCAGGGGTTAGCAGCATGGTCATGGGGATGCAGGGGACCATTCCTGTGTCTTCTTGGCCAGCAGGGGCTGTGACAGGTAGATCCATCCCATGTTGGAGTTCAGATAACCCAGAGCATCTCCCAGCTGGGTGAGGTGATCTCAGGGTCTGTGGTGTGTGGGCAAGAAGGACATAGGCTTGGAAGCACCCCCTGGAAGCACCCATGCTGCAGCACGTGGAGGACTCCTGTCCTCGCGGAGATGTGAGTCCCACCATGCTTGCCCATGCCCACATTGCTGCCTGTACACCAGGCTGAGCTCCTCGAAGGCTCCTCACAAGCGAGGTTTCTCCTGCACGTTGCGTGCTCCCAAATCCTGGGCGCCACATGTGCATCCGCAGCAGGGCGCATGGTACTGTCCTGGCAGTGCCCAGCAGCAGTTTCATTTCTAGTGTGACCTTGTCATGGGAGGTCTTGTAAAACGTTGCCCACTAAAGCTGGAAGTTGCTGCTTTTAGCTGTTTCACTTCTAGCTGCTGCAGGCTGGGGAGGTTTGCAGGGAAGACCAGGGTTGTATTTTACATATGTGTTTGCATCCAACTTCACTACAGAGAGTTGCCAAAGGCTTCCCAAATCCATGTGCTCACGAGCAGAAGAGCAGCAAACAGCTGCTAGCTCTGTCCTGTGGGTTTTATCCCCTTCGGTGCCAGAACAAGCTGCTTCTTGGGGCAGCTCTTGCAGCCAAGCTACAAGAAATTGCAAATTAAAAGCTAATGTTTATGATAAACACTCCGTTGTAACACTGCGTGGGACGGTCCCCACTGCATCCTCCCGTAAGGCCAGAATAGCAGTGCCCTGGATCCGGGCTGTGGTGCAGGGAGCAAATTCAGCTTGGTGGGTGACTGCCGCTTTTGTTGACTTTCAGCGCTCCTGTCCTCGTAGCACTGGCCTTGATCGAGAGCGGCATGAAGTACGAAGACGCCATTCAGTTCATTCGACAGTAAGTAGTCCCACGGGGATCGGCGTTTAGGTGCAGAGCCCTGCACTGGGGGAGACACAACTCCGCTGCCTGCGCACCGCCACCTCGGGCACTGCTGCGAAGCCTCCCCAGGGCAGGAGAGCAGCTTGAAGCAAGCAGGGAGTGGGAATCAGAAAGCCTGGAGAGGACCAGCTGGTCCCCTCCACGCCGTGCCTGAGCAATGTCGTTCACTGCCTCATTAGTTATTAATTGCCTCCCAAAGCATCGCAGCCCTGAGATTTTTGCTGCAGCAGCTTGGGGCAAAAATCCTTGCAGCAGCTGCCCTGCAGCCAGCACATTTCTTTCCCAGTCGGCTTGCAGGGTTTCTGGTGCCACAGACTGCTGCTCCGGGCAACGTGTCCATGCAAAAGGAGGCAACCAAGATGCAGCTTTGCCGCATTGCGAGCATTTTGCACTGATCTGACTCAACGCCGCTGCTGGGGTCAGCTGTGTTCATGTGTTCCCGTTTCCTCCCTGGGCTGCCTTGAGTGCTCGCCTGCCCTCGTGGTGAACTGCATCAGGGAATCAGGCTTTTTGCAGCCAGCCTGGTTTTTTTTCCCCTCTCTTTCTTTCCTGGGTCGTTTTCAGCTGGGTTGGTGTGATGGAGCACTGGGACAGGCAGCAGGACTTTGGCCAGAGAGAGTGGGGCAGCCTTGATTGGGGCAGCATGAGCTTTGCTCAGTTTAGACCAGGGTGAAGCTCCACAGCAGCTCATGTGGCCTGACCAAGTGAGCTTTTCAGCTGGGGCAAGCTGTGCACATGCGTCCTAGTGTTGCTCCAGCCAGTGGTTCCCATGGATTTCTGCACTGAGTCAGGAAACAGGGATGGGTTTGGAGAGGTCTTCTCCTGTCCGAGAGCAGCGCAACAGCAGGACCTTTCTTCTCTGTCTCTGCAGGAAGCGCCGAGGAGCCATCAACAGCAAGCAGCTCACGTACTTGGAAAAATACCGACCAAAGCAGAGACTCCGATTTAAGGACCCTCATAACCACAAGAACAAATGCTGCATCATGTAACCTCAATGACCTCTTGCCAAAATTCGTGCACACAGACACACGGGCACTCGCACGCATCCCCACCCCGCACACCCCACCCACCACCCCGCTCGCAGGCCCCACTCGGGGGGCTTGGGCAGGACGGGGGTGGGTGGCCTCGATGGAGCATGACCGACAGGTCCTTGTAGCCGGAGCGCTCTTCTTGCCGAACCCCCAAGAAAGGCTGTCTCCACCCGCCATGGCCCCGAGGAGGGAAGGCAAAGCCTTGACTCTTGGCTTTAGCAGGCAATGAATTCACGTGTCGGTTCTTCATCGCCTTCCTCCCTCCTCCTCCTTCTCCCTCCCTTTCCCTCCCTAGGAGCCAGGAACTGAGCCCTTTGCACCAAGAGCACGTCCCTGGTGTGGAGAGATGGGTCCCCACTGCTCTCCCTGGGCATAGCAGGGCTTGGTGTGGGGCGACGCACAGCCAGCCCCAGCCAGGAGCCCAGCAGGACTGCGGGCAGGGCTGTGCCGTCCAAGGAGGGACTGGGACAGGAGGGCTGGCCTAGCCCAGCGCCGGGTGGCTGAGCATCCTAAGGCAGCAAAACCCTCTCCCCACCTCTTTCCTGTAAATTAGGGCTGCGGGCCAGAGCTGTGGGATGGCGCAGTGCCGGAGGAGGACAGGAGGAAGATGGTGATGGCAGGGAGAGATGAAAGAGGTCTTGGCAGCCTGACAGGTGACGAGGCTGAGATCGAGTCCTCCCAGCATCATCCCCTTTCTCCTGTTCCTCCCCCTGCCCCTTCCCCGGCTGCCTGCACTGCCGCCATGCAGCCTGGGACAGCACATGTGGGTACTGGAGAGCTGTCCAGGGGAGCTCACTCCCCCATCTGCTCCTCCAGACCCTGCAGCAGTGAAGCCTGGGCTGCAGGGAAGCTCAGGGATGAGGATGGGACTTTGAGGCCCCCATCTGTACCGGGAGATACTGGGGTGTGGGGTTGACACTGTGACCCCGAAGTTTGGCGTGCTCTTATTTGTAGCTTCCAAATTCAATGTACAAGGTTGTTGCTTCTCTCGGGGAGGGCTGGGGGTGATTTGCTGCTTGTCCAGGGGAGCAGAGCCATCGCAGTCCCCGGCCAGTTGCGGGCTTCCACAACAACGTCTCTCACAGCTTGTCCAAAAGCCAGCATTAACACTGCAGGGCTTTTGCTCACTAGGGTCTGGGATGGATCTTGACTGCCTTGTAAAATAATCCCAGAGCCATACTGCTGCCAGCTCCCAACCCACGCCCTGGGGTGAAAGGAAAGCAGCTCAGCGCTGGGGCTAAGTGTGCAGGAGACGTGGGCATGCCTGTCCTCTCCTCCTCCACCAGCCCAGCTCTCAGAGCTGCCGCATGCGCCGCAGTGTTGCGTCTGGCTGGGTCTTTGCTGGAACTGAGCAACGCATATCATAGTTTCCCATCTTGTCTCCAGGGCGGCTGAGTAGGGCAGGAAGAATCTTAGAGCAAACACAGCTTCTGGCTGATAATGTCCTGAGGGTGCAAAGCACATCTCTGGGCATGTCCATGTCCTCCACCATTGCATCAGTGTTTGCTGTCCATGGGGCTGGGGCTTTAGTTCTCCCAAAGGATTTGTTTTTTGGTGCTCCCAGCAAGAGCCCATCACTGAATTTGCACCTGCTTTTTCCCCATCCTATGGCATCTGTAATGCAGTGCGTTGCCCGATAAGCGCCTGGCACCCCGTAAGCCCCTCGGGCCGTGCTCTGGGGTGGATGCAGAGCAGCACCTGAGCCAGGACATTAAACATCTCTCAACCTTCTGCCTTTGAATGCTTTCTGCAGCTGGAGCGGTGGGCACTTAGCGGGTTTGGAAGTGGTTTTTCTTCTGATGAGAGTAAGAAGAAATTTGCTAATTAAAGGAAAAAAAAAAACTATTTATCTTCCACATGTCCTCTGACCTTTCTTTCTCCCATCATTGAGCCATGTAGGTGATCAGACAGACAGTGCGGGTCTCCAGCAAGGGAAAGCAAAGGGGAGAGATGACCCACTAGACAGATTGCCAGGTCGAAGCAGACTTCCAGGTGTGACCAGGGCATGCTTGGGAGCCAAGGGATGATCTGGGTATTGGACTCATCTGTCATTCACCCCTCAGCTACACAGGATCGCAAGCGTTGGGGCAACGCAGAAGGCTAGGAGCTAATCCTCAAGCATCTTGTGGGTTTAGGCTGCCCATCTTGAGATGCCTTCAATGTCCTGTAGAGGGTATCTCCATAAGGCTTGTGTGCCTTCAGAAATGTAGACCATCTGGAAAAACTTGCTTCAGAGGGTTTACTTCTTGGGAACTGCCAGGAAGGCTGGCTAGATCCCATTGGTATCTGCAAAGGTTTTGGGGCCAGCTTTGTGCCACCAAATTTGATCTGAGGAGCTGAGCTGTTTCTAGTGCTGCTCCTTCTCTCCCTGCAGTCCCCTCTGGGAGCCAGTAGCACTGCACAGCAGGCCTGGCCACCAAGGAGGAGAAGGGTCCGTCATGTCACTGCGTGAGGCATTGAGATGCTCTATCACGCGAGGGCTTGCAGCATCCCCATGGCATTGTGAGGCTGCACATCTCCGACCACTCCAAGCGCTGTCTTGGTGGGACGGCCCTTAGCTCCCTTGAGTTTCTTCTGTCCCATTCAGGCCGCCTAGTTACTACAGCTCCTATGGGGAAGAATCAGCATTCTGAGGGTCCACATTGATTGAGAAGGGTGAGACACAGGGCTGATCCTGTACAGCACTTCTGGCTGGGCACGGTGATCCCACTGGGTGCGTCACCATTCCCTTCCTGCTGGTGAAAGAGGTGCTCCAAGTGCTGCTCCGTCCCCAGTGGTGGCTGGAGGTTGCTCAGCATCGCAAAAGGGATAGCCCCGATCCTCCTTAGGTGGGAAACCTCATGTGTCGCACGTGCTCCCTGGTCATAAGAGGCAGTGCCTTGACTTGCACAGCATTTGAGGCTGCTGCCAGTGGGAATCGTTGCTTTGTACGTGTAGAAATGTTTCTGACTGGCACCTGAAGGAGCAATGTCTCCTCACTCCCCTCTGCTGCACTCACCTAGGCAGCGAGCATCGTGTAGCAGGGTTGCCTGGGGCATGCACTCCCAGGGGGGTTTTGACCACAGTGTTTTTGAGTAGGGGCTGAGACAGGGACAGGGGGGGCTTGAAGTCATCCTCCTTTGGCCATGGAAACCTTCTCCACCTTCGTGGTCAAAGTGCTCAACTCTGATCTCTGTTTTGAGAGCACACTGGCATCTCAGCATGGTGAGCTTGCTTTTGGGGAAGAGGGGACAGGCTTTGTGGTGGTCCTTTGCTTCATGTGATATCAACCCAACCACCTTAAGCATAGTGAGCCTCTAGTGTAAGAACAGTCCTCTTATTCTCTTGATCTGGAAAAATCCATGTGGCCAAATCCTTCTGAACACTTCTGGCTGGCAGAGCAGTATCTTGATGTCCTTCCATTCTGTGAATCACTGCAAAAACTTTGCACCATTTTGCTGCTTTAAATGTTGTTTTGGGGCTTTGGACTTTTCTGTGTTTTTGGTTTTTGTTTTTTTACAACTGTCTCTCTCCTATCCTGGGACTTGCAACACCCTCTTGTGTTCTGCCCCACGGACACGACACCTTCACCTTAGGAAGTGAAGAGACTCTGCTACCTCAGGATTGAGAACAGGCTACGCAGTGTCTGCCCACTGGGTTTTGGAGGCTGCACAGTCATTCCTCCAAGAGGAGAATTTGGTGGGGTGGGGTAGGGATGTGTATGGAAAAGGGGATGGGCAGCTAATGGTGCTGCAGGAGGCTGGGGCTGGGATAACATAGATGAGGCTAGCGTACCCCAAAAGTGCTGATACAGTTTTCATGCCTGATGTTCCTCCCTCATTGTGTCCACCAGCCAGGCAGAGACGTGGAACTGCTTTCCCTGTCTACTTCCCCCTGGTTCGGTTGCACAAGCGACCCTGTGATTTCTGTCCCATGAGGACATGCTGTGTTGCAGGGGTTCGCTGCAGCCCAAGGCCACTTTCCACCTGCAAAGAGCCAGCCCAGGAGCTGCCCTTCTTGCATATAGGGTTTGAACCCTCTCTGAGGATGGGGTGAGACGGCCATGGGTTGCACATCTCGATAGCTTTTGTCGTTCCTCCAGCAGGGCTTGTGAAGAGCCCACCCTCATGCACGGACACCCACACATGGGTCTCCCAAGTCCATCCTCCGACATGCCACTGAAAGTGTCCCTGAGCTGAAGAGCTTGTCCTCTTTTTCCAGATTGGGCTGTTGAGTACTTGGGTTTTTTTGATATGGACTTGGGCTCCTACCTCCGAGGTGCCAACTTTGGAACGTTTCAGCCCAGAAACGCTTACAGAAATACAAAAAGCTGAGGGCTTTGTTTGTTTGTTTGTTTGTTTGTTTGTTTGTTTGTTTCCAAGTAGGTCTTGAATTAGAAATCCTGATGAGCTCCATTTCTTCACAAAAGTCTCGGAACAGCTGGAGAAGTAGGAGTCTGACAGCACTGTAGACACATAGTGCCAGAGTGAGGCCTGAGAGATCAAGGGCTTCGTGTATGGGCTGGTTCTCAGATCTTTGTACTTGTATGTTAATCCCTATTTTGCCTCAGATGCCAAGACACGTTGAAAGGAGAGATCACCGCCTTAAAAATCTGACATATTTGCCGATTCAGTAATTACTCTAATTCTCTCCATTGAATTTTCCAGGAAAACCAGGGAACTGACACCCCAAGGCTTTGGCTACAAACAAACCACCCTTTCCTGCCCTTATGTGAAGAAGCAAAGGCACAAACTGGGTTGCATCACTCCTCACCCATTCCCACCTCCCTCACCCCCTCCATGAAAACCCCGTGTCTTTCATAGACTTGCAGTGATGGAGCTCCAAATTGTAGCAAGCCCTTTGGAGATTCAAAGGATGGCAAGGCAGAGGTGCACTAACCAGCCAACCGAGAGCTTTGTAGGGTTTGCCCAGGGAGGAAATCATGGCTGAACCTTGTGCAGGGGATGAATGTGACCAGGAATTCATAGGTGTGTCTCTCCACCTGTAGCATTTTGGTTACGATGCTTGTTTCCTTTCCATTCTCCATACTTTCCAGTTGGACAGAGCGCATAGTGGGAGCAGCATTTGGAAGGAGGACAGCACATCCGTTGCAAATGGCCAGCTCTTTATTTAACAAAGACCTGGTTACACATATTTAAAAACTTTGCATTTGTAAATTTATATTATGGGTCTTGCAATAAGGCTGAGACTGTGGTGCTTGGGCTGAGAGCTTTGGATGGGGCTTATGGATAACAGATTTTCTGAGGATGCAAAGAGTCTTGCTCTATCTATAACAGAACAAGTCGCTTTATTTTACATATATTTTTTCTTGGGTTTGTTTGTTTTTTATGAGTCCCAGTGGGGAAGCACATGGAAAGATTCGTGACTTACATGCAGTTTCCAAGTTCTTATATCTCATTTGCTTCCAACAGACTGGGTAGGTGCAGTTCAGCGGGTGGATTTTGGTGGGATACTGTCTGGTGGGAGAAAAATGTGCCTGGTTTCTTTGTGCAGCGTGGGGTCCTGGGACGGTTGCAGTCACACTCTCAGGCTCCAGCAGACATTCCAGGGGAGGGGGCGTTTTTGACACATTCTGCTTTCCTTCAGACAGCGCTCTCCCAAAAAACTCTTGACTTCCCTGCTGTTTCTTTCTGTGCAACAAAAAGAACTGCATATTTTCCTTTTTAACTCCATGGGCAATCATAGTAGTATGTAGATTAAGCCCAGATGACTTTTTTCTTTTTTTTTTTTGGTCTGAGCCATAGCTAAATTATTATATCCAATGCTTTTTGTATCAGACAGCATCACGTTGAATATGCAGATGAGGTATAGGATCTTGACACTTTATAATCTTTTTAAAAGAAAATTGTCTGTTTACTTATGTCTTGTGTAAAAAGGAAAAAATGTATGCCTTTTAGTAATCACTTTTTTTTTTTTTTTGAGTTTTCTGGTGGTTTCACTCCAGCAGCAGCGAAATAAAAAAGCGTTCACTGTTTTGTACATCCCTGTGTGCTGCGAGCAGTCCTCCCTCATGGGATTTAGTGAGAAGGGGGGGTATGGGGGAGGCAGAGCCAGAGTGGTGCCCGGGTGATGGAGCATGACCACAAGAGCGCTGGAAAGGGCCATGGAGGGATCACAAGGGATAGCCAGGGTCCTACTGCCTTCCCCTGCCTGGAGACCTCAGGTCATCCTCTGTGTGTCCTAGCTACATCCCCAGCCCGTTCTCTGGGATGTAGTCCCCCTCTCCTCCCCTTCCCCTTACCCTGGGAGTGAAGCAGCTCCGAGGACAGATGACAGAAGTGGCTGGAAAGGGTTGGCCTTGTTGCAGTTAGATGATTCCAAACACACTGCAGCCAGATGCCAAGGCAGAAGCAAGCAGGGCACCCAGGGCTCCAGGTTTTCACATGATTTCCATCCCATCCTGCATGACCATCTGCATGGTCCGTCTCCAGCCCCAGCCTTGGCCATCTCCCAACCCACTCCTTGCACAGACCAAGCCTGCTGCCTCTGTGAGTCCAGCCCCACAGAGGGAGACGTTCTTCTTGGAGCAATCTCCTCCTTCTGAGGCCTAAGTGAAGCCCCAGGACAAGGAGCCACCAGAAGCCTGAGCAGCCCCGCTCCTTTTGCCTGCAGGGAGAGGGTATGGACACCGCAGGTGGGAAAAGACCGCAATCAAAGGATCCTGCACGAAGGCAGCAGTTTTTCAGTGAGTTTCTCCTGATGGCTGTCCCTGAGGAGGTCCTAATCCTCAGTGGAGAGTGCAGAATTCAAATGCAAGAAAGAATGTGAGCCAACAGAGGTGTTTTAACTCCAGGATATGAAACCCTCCTTAGCAAAATGTCCTGCATCTCCTCTATGGGGATTGCCAGGCCAGGCTGCCTTTACCTCCAGCATCCCCCTCCCCAACATAGTCACCTTGATCTTAGCATCCCAGTGCAACAGGGTTAGGAGCTAACATCTTGCCAATGAGTGTCCAACCACCGCCACAGCATTTGCTCCCAGTCCAAATGAGGTCTTACGCAGAGGAGGAGGGTCTGGCAGTGAAGAGAGCCCTGAGCTGCTCTGCAGCAGCAGAGTTGCCCTGTCTGGGTGAGCTAATTGCATTGCTTACTTACAAAAGTGTGTCATGTTTTTTTTTAGATATCCACCTCATGATCAAATAATTGGCATAAGCAGAGCGTCCTCGCCCTGCACCCACCGTTGTGTCCAGCATGACTCACCTGATACAACTGCATAAATGCTGTTGCTGTAGATGTTGTAAGGCTCAGAGATGCCTTTTAACCCCCTTGGAAAGAGTTGGCCCTATGCTAAGGCTTTGGGATTCTGCTGGACGAGGTGTCCAACTGAGGGCCCCTGCTGCACTCCCAGTGGGCCATGGCTTATAAATAATAGCACGCAGGACTCTACCAGCTCTTGAGGTCACCTGTGCAGTGGGCAGCACCTGTACCAGAAGCACACCAAATATCTGGATTGGTCATGTCCAGCCTCTCTGGGCTCTGGCATGAAGCAGCAATGGAAGGAACGAGCCTCTAAACATGCACTGCCCATAAGAATGAAAGTACACAGAGGGATGCCCGGATCAGGAAAGCAGGCAGGGACTACAACCTGAGATCTGGCAGCTGCTTCTCCCTGCCTTGCTGCTTCTAGTCTCCTCTTATAGATCAGTTTAGCAGCTAGGTGTACCTGGTGGAGAACAGCTACTCTGTGAGTGAGGTCTTGGGCCACCTTCTCCCAGCTGAGCAATAGAGGACATGCTGACCTCAGTCTACCTAGGCAAGCAGACCGGGTAGACTAGTCAGTAAACCAGCAAGGAGGAGCCATGTCGGACAATAGGGCAGACTTTCTGCTAGCCAGAGGTGTACTTTTGGAGGGGGGGGTATGGTATTCAAGCCCTTGGACAACTTTTAAGAACAAGCCAGATGCTTTGTCTGATCCTAGGTCAGGATAGGAAGATGATCCCTTTAAGCCCTCAAGATCTCTCCCCATCTGTGATTTTTATCTCAAGCCTCACTGACACTTACTGGGGCGAGCACTCAGAAGTGGTCCAGCCTAGTGCCTCTCCAATTCAGTACCAAGACAGAATGTTAAAATTGTTGAGACAACTGAGCTGGGCAGGCCATTGGACACTCAGAGACATGGCAGATATCTCAGTATTTCTGCAGGAACAGGAATGTGTTTTCCACGAGGAAAATATCTCTCTTTGTCTGGGAGAGGGGGAAGGCTGAACTGAACTGGACTCATGATATTTTCTACTGAAAGAGCTTTTTTGGAAAAGAGTTCTGATTTGGAAGAGGTGAGCTGAGTTTTAGTTCCCCACTCTCACCATCCCATCCCAACTCCAGACCATTCCACCCTGCTCTGTAGCAACCTGCCAGCGACCAGCAGAGGAGCTCAGATTTCTGAAGTTCCTGGGCGCAGTAACGTATTGGCCAACTTGCCAAAGAGGTGGGTGCTTGGGAACTGGAATGGCTCAAGAGAGCCGGCACATCTGGGAAGGTTTTGACCCTCTCCAGTGAGAGCTGTCCACTGCAAAGGTCTTTCAGGAGGTCTTTTGTCTCAGCCCTGGGATAGGGTTGAGGGGCTCAGGCAAGCGGGTCTCTGCACGGGAGCCCTGCCCTCCTCTGGCTCTATGCCAAGCTCAGGGGCCCTCTCCACCAGTGCCTCCAGCAGTGTCATGCTGCAAGGTGGGTGCTGACATTGCCACTTCAAATACAGGAGTGTGCCCAGGTTTCCTCACGCTTCCACTGCTGGAGTGACAGTTTAATATTAGTCTCGAGTATCAGAATACTTGCAAGGGGCTTTGCAGAGCTGGATTTTCCATCTCTCTACCTCTCCATCCCAGGATTTTGAATCCAGTGACTGATTTCAACCTGCAGAGAACAAGAGCTCCCAACAACACCATGTTCCTACAAGGGCAGTGAAAATAGCAGATAAAGGAAAAAAATCTAAGTAGTATATCCAGTATGGCATGGCTCAGTGTTGGTTAGAGAGAATCCACCCAGAAGAGACATTACACATGCCTCACCTGTGGCAGACTTGCTCATTACTTCACCACTGGGAGAGTCCACCTACAAGGCACGAAACTGGGCTTTGCTCATGATGCTGACTGGGTTTTCAACTCTGCCACCCGTGACCAGGGCAGGAAGGCAGAGGCCAGAGGCCCCATGAAAGCCAAGGAGCAAGAGCTCACATGAACAGGCTGGTAAGTGAGCAGAGCTGAGGCTAATTGTGTGAGCTCCCAAGTAATTACAGAGGGCTGGGTGGAGGATTCAGGGAAAGGGGAAGGAAGCTCCCCTCACGCTACTGTAGGCTCAGGAAAGCTTTCGGGTGAGATGCTGGCTTGAAAGAGGGGGAGTTACAGGTAAGAGCCCACCGGGGCTGGGTGGTTGGATCTGTCTTTGAATTGCCCCTGTGCTCCCCAAGCGCTCTGCAACTCAGATCCTTATCTCCCTGCACTTTGAAGCACACAGCTGCAAGGGGCACTGCCTCCAGGTTTGTGCAATACTCAACTGGGCCTTCATTCAGCCTAATTGCTGCCTCGCCTCACAACCAGAAGGGCTAGGGGGACTTCTGAACATGAGTGTGTGTGTGCGCTTGAGAAACACCCGCCCACACTCCTGCCTGTACACGCTGTCTCCTACCTCCTGCATTCCTTCTCACCCTCTGCCGCAGAAAAATGTGCACCCCTTTGCAGACCAGACCCCTACTCTCCTCTGTGTTAGACCACTGCCACTCCATGCACAGGTTCCTCCCCTACCCAGGAGGAGCACTATGAAAGGTCAGCAAATTGGGGTTGTCTGCAAAGGTCTGAATCCCAGGCCACTCAGGAGACCTGGGGTCTCTTCCCAACTCATACCGTGGTCTGCAGTGCTCCTTATCAGTGGAGGATGTGGGTGCTTCACATTGCTCTAGTACCTACAAGCCCCATCAGGCTCATATCTCATTGTCCTCAATCCTGAAAACACAGAACTCGGTGATACCCACCTAGCTCAGTGTGGGTGCCCACAGTGTGATTTCACCCCGACTCCCTTCACAGTCAGGAAAGATTGAGTCAACAGTCAGTGGAGATTATGGAAGGACTGATCTCATCCCGACATAGACTCTGCTTTCAGATCTCCACCACTACAGTGGGATCCCAGACACCCAGCTCACATGGAGACGCCAACGCTGTAGACATCCAAAGACCTGGGAGATGGCCCGTGGCTCAAAGATGACTTTGTCAGTGTTACCAACCCACTTTAGAAAGTCAGCTCTCTGCAGAGCCAAGGAGGCAAAAGACATAGGTACTTCAACAAAGTCTAGACCTGCCACGTTCTAGGCTCACAAGAGTGGATGAAAAATGTTTTGTCAGGGCTGCCTTAGTCCCCCTATTTGCTGCATGATGAGCTGTGAAGAAATATCTTGCTTTTTTTGGGGCGCTGAGCTAAGCCAAGCCAGGAGCTGTAACAGGCAGCACTGGCTCTTCTTGGGCACAACACGACTTTAATTGCTGTTCCTGTCAAGCTGATTTGCAACATCTCCACCTGAGGATGTTGTGCTGTCCAAGATGGGCTTTTGAGCTTCTCCCTGAGCCTGGAATGAGATGCATCATCAGGCTGTGCAGCGATGGGAGGCTGCAGGCACAAAGATCTCATACCCCACCAGGAGCATCTCAGATCTGAACAGCTGTTTCTGAGGAGTGGCAAGTGAGACCGGTTGTCTGGGTCCAGGGAGTGCAGGAGGCAGAGGAGGGTGGGTGGTGCTGCCTCATTTGCACTTTGATATCTAGAGACTCTTTGATATCTGCAAAGGTATGAAAATGTAGGGCAGAGCTTGGATTGGGAAGAAAATTAAAGTGATCGCAACAAATCTAGCTGAATTGTCAAGTGGGCACTTAGGTACTGCTTGGCAACAGTGCAATAATGTGGCTAGTCCATACGCTTTGCCAGGGGTGGGTTTTGCCCTGGGAGCTTTC